CTCATCAGTATGATTTTGCTTCATGTAGAGATGGGATGAAGTGTTGGGAAAAGTAAATGGGAGATTCAAAAATATTAAACAATGAGTAAACACTATTAATTTTTTTCTATTATTCTATGGAGAATTGATTATCGGTGGTGTTTTTAAATTTACAGCGAGCATTAATTTTGATGTTGTTCAATCGTTTCTATGTTGTTTATCCAATTCTTTGCATGTAACATGAAAATCGGAACAACTAACGCAACAACTCTGGTCAGGAGAATGGAAGTGTGATACATGGTACGGAGTAGGTGTACACTGAGAATGAAGGGGGTTCATATTTCTGAAAAAGGATCCGCCGTGCAACAATCTATTTTCACAGTCAAAGGAAACGTTTTCTAGCCGAAGTTTATTGTTGGGAGAATGAAATAACCAATTGACAAATAGAAAGGTGGAATTCTTGGCTCACTTGAGTTTCATGCCATAACAGGCCATTTATATGAAATTAATTACTGATTATGCGGAATAAGGTAGCAGGAAAATGGTGAAAGCATGCAAATTGCCCAATCCTGACCATCTAACTTGCAAATTGTTGTGATGACAGATGTTGAATTATTTGAGGCCATATAATTAGGAGGCATATAATTAGTAAAAATAATTATTGAATTAAAGAGGTAAGTAAAAATTGCAATTCAGTGTCATTAAGAATACAACCCACCGTAACTGGACAAAATTAGGAAGTACATAATAGGTCCAATATACACAATATGATGCATTGAAACAAAAGTTGGTCACTATCTTTACAAACAAAACCTCTTATTTAAAATGTAAAAGGTACATAATGTCTACAATAATATGTATCCAAAAATGAGGCTAATAAATAATCACTGTAGATCCATGCAAGACAGACATAGAAATAATTCCAATCTTGATTCTAGGGGTGCATGACACTTCAATCATGATAATGCAAGGGAAACGGTAAGAGTTCTTCCACACTTCGGGCTTTGACTCATTGCTAAGCAAAACAAGCCAAACAAATCATTAAGCATTCTCTCAAATAATTTACTTAATTTGAACTCAAGCCACACAATCAAATAACAGTAAGTATAAAGATATCTGATTGGGCCTAGAACAACAAAGCCTAAAGAAGTGTCAGATGTTTTAAATGAGGTCCTTTAATCTCTATATCTTGACTAATAACCTGCACATAGAACAGCAGAAACATATTCCAAGGAAAATGAAGAAAATTCTCTTAACAAATTTTGCAAGTCAGCAAAATGTTGAACTCAAAGTCATAGCTCAGGAAATCCTCATCAATCCATTTTAGCTGCGAGCAGTAAAGGCAAGTTACATTAAATAGCTATCAATGATACAGTCAACCAAACATAGTAGCTCTAGTATGGTAAAAGAATATTGAAATGGTCAAATAATAGTGAATTTCCCAAAGAATAGGAAACTTAAATGACCAATGCCTATCTTAGCGCCAAGTAACCCAAGGGTCTTTTCTTGAAACTCAATCTCTAGCTTTTTCTTAACATTTTAATCATTACAGTAATGACCATAATGATTTCAGTATCAGTATTTCAACTTGCACTTTTTCGCACACCTTTCTTCTTTTCTTTTACGTCCCTCCTCACACTGCCAATGCCTCTCATCCTTTTTTCAACAAGTTTATACCTATAAATATAGAAGTTCAAGAAATGAACCCAAAAGGTTAAAGGTGAAATATACAAATTTATTACCAAGTAAAACTTACTCTAACAACAAAAGTGTAATCAATCTATAAAATTAATCAATGAAAAGAAACTAATGATTCGTTATTCAAAAGCCCATCAAAAGAAGATAACATTTTCACACTACAAAATAGTCTATCTAGATAGCCAAATAAGGAAGCTGACATGCTATGGAGTTCCAAATACGGATGTGCACAATATCTGCTCAACCAAGTCACCTAGTTTAAGGTATTCTCACCTATCAATTAAACAGAACCTCAATTAATTAGAACTTATACTATCATTAAAACCCAAAAAAGGAAAAACAACAATAAAAGGTGAACAAACACCTACTTAAAGGCTATCTTCACCATTTGTTTATTCCTGGACCACAAATAAAGATTGCTTCTTCCTGTAGTGGATACCAGAAAAAGAAGAAAGAAGAAAGAAAAGGTTAGAGATAAAAATCTGATGGGGAAAAATTTATCCCTGAGAAATTGCAATGGCAAAGAACCTTCGGTTGTGTAGACAATCATCTCTCTAGTCTTACTCTCAAACATATACTACTTTAGAAATATTGACTTGTCCTAAAAGATGCAGAGACAGAAATTGCATGAAGACCAGGTCCCATATTCAGTGAAAAAACAAGAAAAGAACAAAAGGATTCAACTTTTAACTGAGCAAAAAATGATTCCTGAACCAGCTTAGAGGTTTCTTCGAAAAATCTTTAAACTTCTCTGTAAAAGTGAAAGTGAAAAATCTTAACCTCGACCCTTTTGTTCCATATTAGTTAATGTTATTTATCATTTAGCTTCTGATTTAACAGATGCACTTGATCTAATTTTGGCAGATTTCATTTTGACAGGTAAAAGGATTCACTCAAAGCTAGTATTTAAGAGAAAAATAGTAAAATCTAAAAACAAAAGGCCCAAAGTACCGTGAAAATAATAGGAGCAGGAGTTTTACCACAAATTTTTGCCATCCTCCACAAATTTCTGTCATAGAGGGAAAGAGGGAAGGTCACAAATTGAAAAGGGAAACAAACTAGAGCAAAAAACTTATGGGCTAAAAAGTTTCTTACCACAGAGGTTGTTCTTCCTTTTCTTCCTCACTCTGTAAAAATGCAAATTGTAATATGAAAGTATAAACGAAGTAAAAATACGGGAAAAATCACAGATGAATGTGCGCCAAGAAAAGAAGCAATCAGTGTTTCTACAACAGGGGCTCTAGAATGCATAGGTGTTTTAGGGATTAAATGCTTCTAGAATGCTTTAAGAAACCACTATAACTCATACTTTCTGTCAAACAGCACCAGAAAAAATGTTTATAGAGGAAAACATTGATGTTCATGCCTATTTTTCAGCTAAAACCTAATAAATTCATCTTCCTTTCTATAAAAATAATAGTATAATCCAATAAAATAAAAGACAAAATAAAAACTTCAAGTGATTTGAGAGTAGAGACCGAAATTAAAATAACAAAGTTTTTATCGGCAAAAAATAAATAAACAAATAAATCAATAGATAAATAAAGCAGAACAGACCTTTAGAGGACAGAAAAGGATGGAATATATCCACAAGTACTTGCATTTGCATCCCATAAAAGTTTTCATCTTTTTCCTGCAAAGAAAATACTATAAAAATTAGGAAATCAGATAAATAAAACATAAGAGACATAAAATAAAATAAAAAATCTTAAGATATAAAGATTAGAAGATCAAAGTTCTTATCGCTAAGAAAATAATTGACTAACAAAGATATTAAACCAAGCTTTATTAATTTTTAAGCAAATAAAGACCATTGGAAGAACAGAGAAAAGTTAAGTAAATCTACAAGTTATTTGTAGCTCATCTCATCTAAAAAGATCAGAAACAAAAGCTAGAAAATTGAAGGTCATCTGTGGCTGTTGTTGACCTTAATTTTTAGAGAAAACAATACAGAAAAAATCGGAGAGGTATGGAAGAATTGTTGGTCCGCCGGTGAGTTTGATAAGAGAAGAAAGTAAGTGACAGCTATGGAGAGTGTTTACCAAGCCCTATTCGCAGTCGTATAGAAATCAGAGGAGGAGGAAGATAAGAATATGATGGTAGTAATCCTCGAGCCACTAACCAACCTTCAATTGATGTGATTTTCTCTGCTACTGCATGTCTTAGATTGGATCCAGTGGATAATAGGTTGAGCTTAGCAACAAACAACGGTGCATGCTTTTTAAAAAGAAGGGCAAAATCGTAAAACCATGGAAACCCACATTGAGCCCATCACTTTCGTCTCAGCAGGTCAGCACATTGAGCCATATTGAGCTCAGCAGGTCAGCTGGTCTTCATTTTCGTCTCTCGGACAAAAAACACTTCTCCTCCCAGCGGACAAAAGCAAGAATCCGAATTCTCCTCCCAGCGAAAGCACGCGAGCCCCACGTGATGGACGACGACCCCCCAGCGAATGAAATGCAGCCACATCAGCACAACCACCGGATCCTTTCGTGCTTTTACTATATAGGTTGAAGACTAAATTGGTGGGCATCTAGAACATCAAGGTGCAAATTGTCCAAAAAGAAATTCATTTAGGTTTCGAATAATGCTATAGATTTTTTCATTCGAGGACAGCAGTAACAACAGGTATGCTTTATGTACATGTGTATATATATATAATAATCAGTTAACGGGACAGCAAGTGTCCTTTGTATACATGGCAGGGAGTCAACTTGGCTTTGCATATTATAGTCCTTTCAGTTTCTCTGCAGCATTGGGAAATGATAAGCACAAGAATAAAATTAAATTAGGGATAATTTCAGAAACAGTCTCAAGGACCTCCCCTGAAGTTCCGAAAATACCTTATACCTCTCCTGTCAGATTATTGGGCCCCAAAATGACAACATGGACATTGAATTGACAGAAATATCCCTGCTGTTGAAGTAATATATTCTGATAATAATATGAATTAATTAGTGAAATGTCTAATACATAGGATTAACTAACTTAACTGGAACATTTTAATCAGTTCTTGTAAATGGATCCTTAGATGAAAACGATTTTCAGAGCAATTAAATCAAATCCTTTGGTCCATGATTGTTCTCCATAAGTTAAGGTTTTCAACTATAGCTTTTTTCTGTTTTGCTTCAGCAAACTGTTATCTAAAAATGTCCTACAAATCTCTATAAATAATTTGGTTGATTTATAGGTTTCCAAGTGCTCCTTGCTTTGATAAACCAAAGGACAATGAAATTTAATTGTGATCCAAGTATCTTCTGTCTCAATAATTTCTAAATAATTTATATTCTGATTATTCAAAACTAAAGTTGCAGCTTTACTTCATGATGCAGGGTCAATTATCAGATGGTACTGTAATTGCTGTAAAGCAACTTTCTTCCAAGTCTAAACAAGGGAACCTCGAATTTGTGACTGAAATAGGAATGATATCTGCTTTGCAACATCCTAATCTTATGAAGCTGTATGGGTTCTGTGTTGAAGGAAATCATTTAATGCTTATCTACGAATTCATGGCAAACAACTGTGTATCACGAGCTCTTTTCAATAAGCTCAGCTCTATTCAACGAACAAGTGCAAGTAAATTTGAAAGAGATGCACATAATTTTGGTGGATATATAGCAAACTAAGTAACTAGTTTGTCTTTCAAATGTCAACAGGAAAAGATTCAGCAAGCAAGATAAAGTTAGACTGGCCAACAAGAAGGAAAATTTGCCTAGACGTAGCCCGAGGTCTGGCCTACCTCCATGAAGAGTCAAGACTGAAAATTGTCCACAGAGACATCAAGACTAGCAATATTTTGCTTGACAAGGACCTCAATGCTAAAATCTCTGATTTTGGCCTGGCGAAGCTAAATGAGGACGATTGTAGTCACATTGGCACCCGGATTGCCTGAACTATGTAAGTTCGTTGTGTCCATGTTTTTGGAGAATCTGTAGAGGTTTTAGCTCCTGCTTCAGATATCTCATCATATATAATTGGCAATGTGATAATAAAACAGGTTAAAACTTAGCTTCATTAATCATGTGGCTAAAGCTTAAATGCCTGCCTTCATTTTGTCACTTTGACATATCTGCCATATCAGCGGGTTGGTCTTTGTTTTCACCTCTGAAAACAAAGCAACAAGAGCTTCCTTTGATAGTGATCATAACCTCGTGACCTGCTTATATTGTAATGAATGTTCCCTTAATACTTGCTCATGCAGAGGTTACATGGCTCCTGAGTACGCGATGCGCGGTTACTTGACTGCTAAAGCAGATGTTTACAGCTATGGAGTTGTAGCATTGGAAATAGTCAGTGGGAAAAACAACACAAATTACAGGCCAAAGGAAGAATGTGTTTATCTTCTTGATGAGGTAAAACTGAAATTCTTCAATTCTATTATTTTTACTTCGATTTCCACTAGTAATTCTCACACATTCACAATCTGAAACCTGATCAGTATCTCATTGTCTTTCCGACTAAATTGCCGTAAAATTTCCAAGCCTACACTGTCTTCCCTCATAGGATTCTGATGCAGCTTGTTCCAGTCTAACTTTTGTCATTTCATTCTTCTGACCAGGCCTATGTTTTACAAGAGAGAGGCAGTCTACTAGAACTGGTTGATCCAGACTTGGGTCCGAATATTCATCAGAAAAGGCAACTCTCATGCTAAATGTGGCCCTTCTATATACAAATGCATCCCCAACTCTCAGGCCTACAATGTCTCAAGTTGTGAGCATGCTGGAAGGCCAAACAGATGTTCAGGACATACTTTCTGAGCCAGGGTTCTCAACTGCCCCTTCAAAATTCAAGAACATAAGAAACCATTTCTGGCAAAATCCAAGTCCCAGTCAGACTCAAAGCATTTCATCAAGCGGTCCACATTCCTGTTCATCCGTCTCAAATGCAAATATTGAAGAGAATAGAACCTTTCAGAACATATTGAGTAAAAAGTAGTATTCTATACACAAGTAAGTGTATATAGCATAGCAGTAACTGCAGGTGAAGTCGCCTTGAACATGTTTGTGGGTAGTTCAGCTTATACTTGTATGAGCACTTTTGCAGAAACCTCAGCCACAACCCAACAATGTTGACAGCTTTCTGTTGCAACTCCCATGCAAGCAAATATATAGACCTCCAAAGCAACAGTACTGTTTCTTTTTACCGTTACAAACAACTGCTTTGAGAGCCGTTGGCATGAAGCAGAAGACAATTTCTTGCAATACATCCTTACCTTTTTCCATCAGTTTCACATACACCCTCTGAAATTTCAAAGGAATAAGATTCTATTGAAATTTTCAACATAAACATCCTCACTAATGACAATCTTGAGGACAGAGGTGGAATTTTTTATTTTCTCTCTCCTGATACACATTTTATATTCATTGTCCATGTCAATTGGGTTGAATCTGATACTATCTACTTAGTTCTAGGGGAGGTATAAGGGATTTTCGGAACTTCAGGGGAGGTCCTTGAGACTGTCAGAAACCTCAGGGGAGGTTTCTGAAATTAACCCATTAAATTAAACACCTAATGCATCTTAAGTAGTTCGCAGATTCATTGCAATTCAAGGCATGCTTTCTTAACCTTGGTGAATATCATAGTGGGATCCAAGGGCCAATTAGGAAAAACTCCCAGAGAGTAAAGATTAATAAAAATTGATCAAGTTTAACATTTGGAAGTTAAACGGGATAGCAACAAAATTTCAAAGGCTTTCGTGATTTCTTTTTCCTTCTTTCAGGATAGTATGTACCGGAACAGCTTGAATTTTTCAAAATGTCTCATGGGTATTATTAATAGCTAAGCCTTGATTAGAGATTGAAAATGTCTCATGGGTTCTCACTACGTGCATTAGCTTTTAGTCATCTTCCATCACTCTCGTAGTCTTTGAATGCTTAGTTTTACGATCATAATTCCACTACTCGTTTGTCAAATTCTTGGGTTTTTTTATAATGTCTTGTTTCCTTTGATTTATGGTAGATTTACTGTGCCATGGAAAATTGATGTCATAACAATTTTTTAAAGGCATCAATTGCAGTATCTGCAAGTAGTACGAAATCTTTCATTCTTTTGAGGAAGTGTCCGTTAATATATAAATAACAAGAATTTTCTTTAGTAACAAAAAGTATACTAGCCATTCCTACTATTTGTCAAATTTAGTTCGCCAACTAACCAAACTAAATTTGAATAATATTTAACTTCGATTCGATAAATAAATAAATTAAACTTGAACAAAATTTTAAATTTATTAAAATAATCAAACAAGTTTAAATATTACAGTGTTCAACTTGATTAGACTTAAACATAGCAACGAAATTCTTAGAATAAAATGGAAGCGAAAATTTTCCACTATTAAATGAAATTTCAGAGCGGAAGGGGCGAAACATTGCAATTGTGCTCTAAATCGTTTGGAATTCTTATTTGGGCTGTCAATTCTCTTTTTTGGTCTGCATTTCTTAAGCCCGATCTTGGGCTGCATTTGTTAAACAAAATGTTGATGCTAGGGTAGGGGGCTTGGCCCAGATTTAAATACATCACCTTTCTCATTTTCGATAGTAATACTTCACCAATTGCAAGATCAAATTTCAACTAAGTCATAAATAGTATCACAAACATCATCTTAGATAATAATTTTTTACATAATGAGTAGAATATAATACAATAGTGATATATTGACAAATGTACAGATGTGGTCTCTTAAGAACTAAACATGTAAGCATATCAGTTGTACGCGGAGTTTAGCATTGTCCAAACTCGACACATGATGAATCCAAATCTAACCTGATTCTTTAATTTCTTGGGCCAAGCAGGTTAAGTTCCACCCAATCCCACCATTTTGACAATCTAACTTGATTTTTTTAGTGAATAAAAAATTTTGATATGAAGAAATGACATATGACGTCCTTATCAGCATGATTTGATTTTTAAATTTTCTTATTTTTAGATGACGAGAAATTATCTGTAAGGGAGTAATGTCACCAAAAGACACAACATATGAAATGATATAATCCACAAAATATGACAAATGCCTAGCACTGCTTGATGATTTTAATATAATTCACAAACCTAAGAACATGTTCTTGATTTGTAATTGAGGAAACTTAAGAACTTGAAATAGAAAAGGAATCTCCTTCAACATTTTATTCTGCAACTGCATATTTAAGATTAAGAAGGTCGATATTCATGCGCTAATAAAAGAAAGGAAATGTTTTGATGAATTCAATAAAGACTAGAAATGAATTACAGCCCCGTAACCATTCATGAAGCATAATGAGTGATCATATGACATTTCTACTTGACCTCATCTAGCTGAGATTTCTCCAAGCCCTGCCAATAGAACCCAAATACAAGATTATTGCCCAACCAGACAACTAACTAGAAGCTTGGAGAGTTGGGAAACCTACAAATTTCAGAAGAACATGCACCTTTAAGATGTCCTTGAACTCTGGTAACTCATGTACTGAAGCTTGATCTTTTTCGGCGCAACAAGAACATCTTGTATGTTGCTACACAAATGAGGTCATCAGCGGATGCCCATCTCTGTGCTTGGATTCAGAAAATAATCAAACAGCTACTTCTTCATCTTGCTCTGGAAACGGATGCTGCCAGACCACTATAGCAAAAGAATTCAATTATTTTTCAACTATGGTGCTTACCATGAATACTGCAGATAGATCTTGGGAATCTGCTGTTTGTAGCCTCTCCATGATTGTAAAAACGGATTTCAATGATTTTGGTAGGTTTAACATTTCCAGTTGCGATGACGATTATACTGTTCCAATTGTACTTGACTGGGAAATTGGAAATATCAGTTGCCATGAAGCGGTGAAAAGGAGACATTATGTATGCGGCCAGAATAGTAAGTGCATCAATTCAACCAGAGGAATTGGATATCTGTGTACTTGCTTGCCAGGTTACCAAGGAAATCCTTATCTGCCTACTGGATGCAAAGGTACGTAATGGATTTCTTCTTTCTCCATTTTTTTTTGGAGTAATTTGGAAGGAGAGAGAATGCGAAGGAAGAGTAAGTTCAGATAGGGAAAAAAAACATGATTTGCTAAGGTAGTCATGGCTCACATTCGAATTTTGCTAAGGTAATCTCACTAACATGATTTGTTGTAATCTTAACAGGAAGCCGAAAGTACGCAATTACTCTCGTCTATCCATTTTCTTTTTCTTCTTGCTAGCAACAGAAGATTTATTTTTCTTTTTTAGGTAGTTTGTTACAAGGTCATAGTTCTAAAGCTAGCGTATCAAAAATTTTATGCAAATCAGGCAGATTTTGTATTTAGGGAGAACATTAGGTGAGAAAACAAATAACTGTCCCTAGACATTACCACCAACAATGTGTGAAGTACTTTCTTCAAGAGATCAGTTAGTTCCATAGGTGCTCTCAGCCAAGTTTTGGGATTAATTTTAGTTGACTCTTCTCTGCATAATCTGAAAAGATATCAATGAAATTCTTGGAAAATTACAACTATTCAACCAATTGGATAGCCACCACGGAAAACTAACGGTCTACTCAACATAATGTATTGTACACTTTTCTGAAGACCGCATCAAAATTTAGAACCCCCATATGTAATCGTGCAAATTACCCTCAAGATTGAATAACATACACAAATTCAGGGGAAGAAAAGCCAATCATAGGGGATGGGCTTGGATGTTGATATCAAACAATTATTCTCTATTTTTCCAGCACTACATTGGAACTTGGAAGGACTTTCTCCGATTTTACACCCTTAAATTATTCTTGTGACTTTTGGTATGTGGAGTGCCATTTGCTCTAATCTGCACAAGTTTAGAAATAGGTGAAAGATTGCACATAATATTGATTATTTTGTTCCTCTCTTTTTCTGTGGCCAAACTTGACTGCAGATATTAACGAGTGTCAAGTTCCTAAAAGGAATAAGTGCCCCAAGGACGCCACATGCGTTAACACTGCAGGCAGCTACGTTTGCACCTGTCGTCTAGGCTACTACAAGAAAGACTTTGGTACTTTATCAAATGCATGCATACCACTACCAGACAAAGGGAAACGATCCATGGCTATTGTAAAGAGGTATCTTGGGAGGAAAACATCTAGTCACCGTATTATGAGTGACCAACTAATATTTATAGGAGTACAAACCTAACGGACTGTTTACAAGAATACCCTTACTAATATATTATCTACAAGAATACTAATATTCTCCTAACACTCCCCCTCAAGTTGGAGCATATATATCATAAGCACCCAACTTGTTACAAAGGTATTTCACCCTAGAGCCCCCTAAACTCTTGGTAAACAAATCAGCCAATTGATCTGCAGACGGTACATGAGATGTCTTGATGATTCCATCAAGTAATTTCTCTCGAATGAAATGACAATCAACTTCAATATGTTTTGTCCTTTCATGAAACACTGGATTAGACGCAATATGGACAGCCGCCTGATTATCACACACTAAATTCATAGGCTGTTTATACTCAAACCCAATTTCAACTAACATGCTTTTCAACCAAACCAACTCACACACAGTGTGAGCCATAGCACGGTATTCAGATTCTGCACTTGATCTGGAGACAACTGTTTGCTTCTTACTCTTCCACGACACTAAATTACCACCAACAAACACACAATATCCTGTGGTCGATCTTCGATCTGAGGCAGAACCGGCCCAATCTGCATCACTATATCCTTCAATATCAGTGTGTCCATGATTTTGATATAGCAACCCTTTTCCAGGAGCACCCTTAAGATACCTGAGAATTCGTATAACAGCATCCCAATGACTAGTACGAGGAGTATCAAGAAATTGACTCACAACACTCACTGCAAATGAAATGTCAGGTCTCGTTACAGTGAGATAATTTAACTTACCCACAAGTTTTCGATATTGCTTAGGATCATCAAGTAATGCTCCTTGATCTCTTGCTAATTTCACATTGGGATCCATAGGAGTATCCACAGGTCGGCAACCTAACATCCCAACTTCACTCAACATATCGAGTACATATTTCCTTTGACATAAATAAATCCCATATTTAGACCGAGCTACCTCAATACCCAGAAAATACTGTAAATGACCTAAATCCTTTGTCTGAAAGTTTGCCTGCAGATTGGATTTAAGTTTCTGGATCCCCACAACATCATCACCTGTAATCACAATATCATCCACATAAACAACTAATAAAATTTTACCAGCATTAGAATGCCCATAAAATACAGAGTGGTCTACTCCACATCTCGTCAGACCGAACTCCATGACCACACTACTAAACCGGCCAAACCAAGCCCTTGGAGACTGTTTCAATCCATATAAGGATTTTTTCAAACAACAAACCAACTGCGAATTCTCCCCCTGAACAACAAATCCAGGAGGTTGTTCCATATATACCTCTTCTTCCAAATCTCCATGCAGAAATGCATTTTTCACATCCAACTGATGCAATGGCCAATTGTAAGTTGCTGCCAAAGAGATAAGAAGGCGAACCGAGGTAATCTTTGCAACAGGAGAAAATGTTTCTAAGTAGTCTACTCCATACACCTGAGTAAATCCTCGAGCTACCAGACGAGCCTTCAATCTATCAATAGAACCATTAGGCTGCACCTTTATAGTGTACACCCATTTACAACCAACAACAGGCTTACCTGAAGGACGAGGGACAAGATCCCAAGTACCATTTTTCTCCAAAGCAAGCATCTCTTCCTGCATAGCTAACCTCCAACCAGGATCATTGAGAGCATGGGTAATAGACTTAGGAATGGATACCGAATCAAGAGATGCAACAAAAGAAGAATATGACAGAGAGAGACGAGAATAAGAGACAAAATTAGAAATAGGATGAGAAGTACAATGTCTCTTACCTTTACGTAAAGCAATAGGAAGATCTGACTCACAAGAGGGCGTCATACCTGGATCTGAAGATTGAGAGTTAATTGGTGAAGTGCGTAGCATATCAGGAGCTTTCTCAACCATGGAACGACGAGAATAAACTTGAAGATTAGGATGAGATAATCGAGTGGTGGAATCTGGTGAACCCGATAACTCAGGTAATAAAGATGAAGGGACTGGTAAAACAGGAGGAGAAAAAGAGGAACACTGGTCTAACTCACAAGACATACCTTGCTTCATAAAATAAGGAGTGGATTCAAAGAAAGTAACATCAGCACAAGTGAAAAAACGATTTAAAACTGGACTGTAACATCTATACCCCTTTTGCGCTCGTGCGTATCCTAAGAAAATACACTTAATGGCACGAGAATCTAATTTATCCACCCCGAGAGCAAGCTGATGAACAAAACACACACAACCAAAAATACGAGGAGGTAATTTAAATATAGGGTCCTGAGGAAAAAGAATGGAGTGAGGTAGTTGGCCTCCAAGAATATCGGATGGCATGCGATTAATTAAATAACATGCAGTTAAAACTGCATCACTCCAAAATTGTTTGGGTACATTCATGTGCAACAAAAGTGTCCGAGCAACTTCGATTAAATGTCCAATTTTTCTTTCAGCAACTCCATTCTGTTGTGGAGTGTGAGGACAAGAGGACTGATGAAGAATACCGGACTTAGTCATAAAGGTATCAAAAGGAGTGGAAAAATATTCTTTCGCATTATCACTGCGAAGTATACGTACAGGCACACCAAATTGAGTCTTTATTTCTGTAACAAATGCACAAAAAATGGAATATAATTCTGAACGATCTTTCATTAAATAAAGCCATGTAACTCTGGAAAAATCATCAACAAAGATTACAAAATATTTAAAACCTAACTTTGAAGTTACTCGACTAGGACCCCAAACATCAGAATGAACTAACAAAAAGGGTTCCGAAACCCGTTTATTGACCCTAGGGACAAAAGAAACACGATGATGCTTTCCTAATTGACAAGACTCACATTCTAATGAAGACAACTGACTCAAGGTAGGGACCAACTTCTTCAAATTTTGTAGAGACGGATGACCCAAACGACAGTGAATTTCAAGAGGAGAAACAGTAGCAGGGCACGCAATCGGACCATTAGAGTTGAGAAAGTAAAGACCATTATGCTCATGTCCTCCACCAATCGTCCTCTTTGTCTTCAAATCCTGAATGACAACAAAATCAGGAGAAAAAATAACTGAACACTGTAGAGATTTAGTAAGCTTACTAACGGACATTAGATTAAAAGGCAAACTGGGAACGTAAAGAACAGAAGGCAGCGGAAGAGATGAGTTAATTTCTACAGTGCCTAGTCCTTTAACTTTAGTTGTAGATCCATCAGCTAAAGTAACATGAGGGAAGGAAGTAGACTCTTGAAAATTAGAAAAATTTCTAGAGGTACCTGACATATGATCAGTAGCTCCGGAATCAATGATCCATGAGTCAAAATTAGATGATGTGGAGAGACAAGCCATAGCATTACCTTTTTGTGCTACAGAAGTAGAGGGAAGAGATGCGTGATTTGCAGTTTGGTACTGCAGAAATTTGATATAATCTTCCTCAGATATGGTAACAGTCTTCTGAGACCCTTGTGCTAAAGAACTTGATTCAGTTTGATCAGTGGTAACCGTATTAACAAACCGAGGTGGTTTTCCATTTAAATCCCAACAAGTATCACGAGTGTGATTCTTTAAACCACAATGATTGCACTCACGGGTGCCTCGACCTCCACGACCCCCACGACCTCTACTTCTTCCTCCACGAGAGCCACGTCCAAAATTAAGTTGCTCTGTCCGATTATTGTTAGCAATTAAAGCAGATTTGTCATTAATTAAAGCACCATCACCCTGTGCATTGTCCTTAGATGCAGAACGTAAGACCCGAGCATACGCCTCTGCAAAGGATGGTAATTGTTCACCTGCTAAAATTTGAGATTTGATTGGTTCAAATTCCGGCTTGAGACCAGCCAGGAATTTGAGCACAAGCATTTGTTCTCTTTGCCTCTGCATAACCTTGATATCACTTGAGAGAGGCATTACAGCATTTAATTCCTCTGAGACTCGCTTAAGATCAGCAAAGTATTCAGTTACTGTCTTGTTATCTTGTTGCAACTGAAAATACTCCAAAGAAATATCAAACATCCGTGAGAGATTACTGCAATATAATAACCGGACATAATCCCAAACTTCTTTTGTTGTCTCACAATGAGAACACATGTAAGCAATTCGTGGCTCCATAGAATTCCATATTGCTCCAAGAATTTGGGCATCCTCTTGAATCCACATTAGTTTCTTGCTATCCTCCGTAGGAGAGTCATCTGTGAGATAACGTTGCTTTCCTAAGCCTATCAGATAAATCTTAACAGCTTTTGACCACTGTTGATAATTGGTATCATTCAACTTCCAATTTGTGATTTGAGGCATCACCATTGGCATAATATTAGTGGACGTCACAATACTTTTTGATAAACTTTCAGCCATAGCGAATAGCACTTCAAACCCAAGAAAGGGTCAAAACTCGAGACGCGTGAACAGTACGCGTGAACAGTGCCCCGTGAACAGTGCCGCGATGAACAGTGCGGCGTGAACAGTACTTTGCTAGATGTTTAACCTAAACCCTAGGACTCTTGCTCTGATACCATGTAAAGAGGTATCTTGGGAGGAAAACATCTAGTCACCGTATTATGAGTGACCAACTAATATTTATAGGAGTACAAACCTAACGGACTGTTTACAAGAATACCCTTACTAATATATTATCTACAAGAATACTAATATTCTCCTAACAGCTATTTTCATTTCTTTAGGTACATTTTCACATTATTCAATCCCGCTTCTTGTCAGTACTTTTGTTTGATAGTCGTCCTCTCAATCATAATTTATTGTACAGGCATTGGAATTGCAACTACTTTTCTTATATTAGTCTTTGCATGTGTTTGGATGCACCGAAAGCTTAAAAAAATAGAAGAAAAAGAAGCGAAAAAGAAACTCTTCAAGAGATTGCTGCAGCAGCAGCTATCATCAGGTAAGGGAAGTGTGTTTGAAACGAAGCTTTTTGTCACAAAAGAGCTGGAGAAGGCAACAGACAATTTTAATGAAAGTCGTATTCTGGGCAAAGGAGAGCTTGGAACTGTTTACAAAGGAATGCAGTCAGATGGAACTATTGTAGCTGTGAAGAAATCAAACAAAATTGACCGGGATCAACTGTTGCAGTTTATCAATGAAGTGCTTATTCTCTCACAGATAAATCACAGGCACATAGTGAAATTGTTAGGTTGTTGTTTGGAAACCGAAGTTCCATTACTTGTTTATGAATTTGTGTCAAATGGAACCCTTTCGCAGCACCTTCATGATGACCCAAGCGCTGGAATGATCACTTGGGAGAATCGTTTACGTATTGCAGCTGAAGTTGCTGGAGCTCTTTCTTATTTGCACTCATGCGCTTCAACGGCCATTTTTCACAGGGACATCAAGTCAAGCAACATATTGTTAGATGAGAACTACAGGGCGGTTGTCTCCGATTTCGGGCTGTCACGATCAGTTGCTATTGATAGAACACACTTAACTATACTAGTCGGAGGCACATTTGGTTACTTAGACCCAGAGTACATTCGCTCAGGGCAACCCAATGATAAAAGTGACGTTTATGCCTTTGGAGTTGTTCTTGCTGAACTTCTAACAGGCCAAGAGGCTGTCTCTTCAGATAAGTCTGATGTTGGTTTGGTTATCCGGTTTCTATCATCCATGAAGGAAAACCGATTGTTTGAAATCTTGGACAAGATTGTCGCTGATGAAGGCCTAGAAGAGGAAATTCTTTTTGTTGCTAAGCTTGTCAAAAGATGCCTAAAACTCAATGCAAGGAAAAGGCCAGGCATGAAGGAGATAGCTGCTGAACTTGAACAACTGAGGAGAATAAAGGAAGGGTCAATAGATAAACAAAATTTTCAGGATGGTTATTGCTCAATAAGCGAAAAATCTGATTTTTGCAATGTTGATTTAATTACTGAAGATACCGATGAGTAGTTTTTGATCCACAATTTGCATGTTTTCCATAGATGTAAGAACTCTTTTGGAATGTTACATTTTTAAGAATATATATGTTCCACCTTGTCACATTTGATAGCACTGGAAAGCCAACTTTCACCTTGAAAACTCAGACGCCCGCGTCTCCACCCCTCCTCTCCATGAAAATCTCTAGTCTCAATCGTTCTTCTCTTTCTCTCCCAAAGGCGCGTTTCGTTCTTTGTTTTCTCTCACAAAGGGACGTACAGAATTTACCCGTAAATGAAAAGAAAAGAACTCCAAAAGCATTGCATTCAAAAAAACATGAACTTGACAGAACAATACCAAATACATATTTAAAGTTTCTGTTTCCCTTTTTGATTGAAACATGGAAGAAATATAGGCAAATAAGCTTGAAGATACTTCTTTTACATTGATAGCAAGGTGGGAAGAATTTCCTTCCGCAAGTGCAGGCTACAATTGAAGGCCATCTGCAGTATCAGTATGTGATTGAAATTACTAACAGGTGGAGTGGCCCAAAAAAGAAAAAAAAAAAAAAGAAAAGAAAGACCTCATTGGTGATTGAATTCGTATCATTGGGTAGAAAAGGCACAAGCACATAGAATTTATGCCAGAAAAAAATACCATATTTCAGCAAAGGAAGGAAATGGAAACTTTAGGTTGTTTATTTTTATTTGTTGTTTTCACTCAAATATTTATTACATAAACTGAACCAAAGCAAACTTTTCTGTTTTTTTTTTTATTGGAGGTATTTTAAATAAAATAAGGAGAGACATAGCATCCTTGAAGATAGACAGAGAGTGGAATGATTGATCTTCTTCTGCGGTTATATCAATTTCGTAGCTATAGAACCTTTCGCTAACTAAATAACCATTATCTTCATGAACATTATTTTTATCTTTTGAATTCTTTCTGGGCATCAAAAGTTTGTCCAGTCTTGCGGATACTTCTTTCATGCCCGACCTATTTCGTGCATTCAGACTCAATACATTTCTTGGCAAGATTATCCATGGTAGTAATCTCCTCTTGTTCATCGCAGAATGAAAGTGAATAACCAAGCCTTCATTTTATTTACCAGAAGAGACTGCTTTTTGGCCTGTTAACAATTCAGCCAGAACCACTCCAAAGGCATAGACATCGTGTAATAGCTGAGCTGGAGCCAAGGTGGTTGGAGGTCAGGAAGTTAGTTGGGAATTAGTTAGGAAGGAATATTCCAAGTAACGGATTGCACGAGTTAGTTATTTCATTTTGTAAGAATACCAGAAACAAGTATAAAGCAGTAGAGTAAGAGAGGCAAAGGCAGATTTTGGACGTGATCATTTTCTTCTTCCTCAAAAATATCTTCAGTCTTCCTACTATTCTTCTTCTCCTCTCCTTTACCTGTCCCCATTTCTTCCTTGTATTCATTCTTTCTTGTATAAGACCAGTACAATTGGTATCAGAGCTTGCGGTCCTTGGATCTGTGAGCTCGTCTACCGAATCCGTAGCTGACCATAGCTGAGGGTACAAGAATGAAGGGCTTTGAAGAACAGTTGAAGAAGCAGGATTCATGAATTCAGAGTATTCTTGAATCTAATGCAGCAGAAAGACTAGCATTGGAGGAGAAATTGGCGGCAAATTACTCTAATATGAAGGCGCTCTTAGAAGCTAACTCAGCTGAGATGAAAATTTTTTCATGGTTTCCATGAATGCTCTGTACAATGCTTTCGTGAGAAGCTTGCAAGGAGACAGAGGAATATTGGGAACTTCACCTGACAACACAGAGAGACCACCTGTCCAAAGGCTTCAGAGGAATTTAGAGTTAGGGCAGTCCAGTCAAGGAGAGAGGAATTATCTACCAATGGGGATTCCTAAGGTGGAATTTCCTAATTTTGATGGTTGTAACCCCAGGGAGTGGGTTAGGAGATGTGAGAAGTTTTTCCATTTATGTCGCATTCCAGACTCAACAAATGGATTTAATGGAATTGCATCTGGATGGAAAAGCTAGTATCTGGTATCAAGGCTTCAAGATGGATAAGGGTGAGTTACAATGGGGTAGATTCAGCCAAGAGCTTTGAAATCGAGTTGGAAATTTGGGGGAGGATGATGTAATCGAAGAGTTTAACAAGCTTCATCAAACTTCCACAGTGCTGGCCTACCAAGAGAAATTTGAGGAGCTGAGAGCTATTGTAATGCTTAGGGTTCCTGGTCTCACTAAATCTTATTACATTTCCAATTTTCTGAGTGGACTGAAGGAGGAGATTAAATCTGTGGTCAAGATCCACAAACCTACTACCTTGCAGTTGGCATTTGAGAAGGCGAGATGGCAGGAGCATTATTTGCAGGTCATGTCTAGGCAACACAAGCTGGCGACAAAACCAACTCCAGTTATAGATCCAATTCAGAAGAAACCTGCACATCAGGCATTTGACAGTAGTAACAATAAAACTACCCCCCAAGGCTCTAGGAGGATTACTCCCACTGAGTTTCAATATAGGAAGGACCACAATTTATGTTACAAATGTGGAGAAAAGTTTTCTCCTAGACATGTTTGCAGGAATAAGGGAATTCATTTGCTATTAGCAAATGAAAACGAGGCACAAGTGGATGAGATAGCGGATGAAGAATGTGAAATCATTGAGTATCAAGGTAACAAGTATGGCAGAGATGTTACACTATCCCTACACTCAGTTTCAGGACATTTGTCTTCCAGTACCATTAAGATGTTGGGGTATTATGGTGATCAAGAGGTTTCCATTTTGTTGGATGGACGAAGTACCAACTGTTTCATAAAACCAGCTATTGCTCAGCTCTACCCTGAAGCTGTTAAGAGTCATAGACCTTTTAAAGTAAAGATTGCAGATGGGAAAGAATTAGTTTGTGAACAATGGATTCCTGACATGAAGTGGATAATGCAGGGCCATCATTTTACTCACAATGTGTATGTGCTGGACTTGGAACCATATGATTTGATTTTGGGGGTTGATTGGATGAAGTGTTACAGGCCCATGACTTTTGATTTTCAGAAGCTGTCATTGTCATTTGAAAAAAAGGGTGAAATGGTGCTACTGCAAGGGGATTCCCACTCTGCTAAGGTATTGATGAAGTAGGGAGCAGCTGCCCAGAAGTATTGCAGAAACAAAATCAGAACAACATTGCAACATTCTTGCATGGTCAGAGTACAAAATTCACAGGTAACTACTGTGCCAAAAGCACTCACTCAATTACTTGCTTAATATGAGGACATATTTGTTGCACCTACAATTTACCCCCCAACCGTAGCCTCGATCATCAGATACCTTTGAAACTTGAGCTAAACCTTTCAAGATTAGCCCATATAGGTATCCCCATAGGCAAAAAACAGAAATAGAAAGGCAAGTTAAAGAAATGTTAGCCACTGGAATTATTCAAACCAGCCATAGCCTTTTTGCATCTCCAGCTTTGCTAGTTTAAAAAAAGGATGGCAGTTAGAGGTTATGCATTGACTATAGACAACTTAACAGCCTCACCATCAAAGACAAGTTTCCCATTCCAATCATTGATGACCTACTTGATGAACTGCATTGTGCAAAAGTATTTTCAAAGATTGATTTGAGGCCAGGGTATCATCAGATAAGAATGGACCCACCTGATATCCAAAAAATAGCTTTCAGAACCCACTCTGGCCTCTATGAATAGTTAGTGATGCCATTTGGCCTTTCTAATGCACCAGCAACCTTCCAAGCTTTAATGAACTCAGTGTTCGAACTTTTTATTAGAAAATTTGTACTAGTATTCTTTGATGACATTCTAGTTTACAGCCCTGATTTTGACTCCCACCTCAAACACCTATCCCTTGTTCTTGACACACTCAGAAACCACTCCTTATATGCAAAGATGTCTAAATGTTTATTTGGGCAAGATAGGGTAGAGTACTTGGGACATATAGTTACTGGTGAAGGAGTCTCTGCTGATCCTGCAAAAGTGGAAGCCATGCTGTCCTGGCCCACCCCTACCACTGTTAAAGGTTTAAAGGGGTTTTTGGGACTGACAGGGTATTACACGAGGTTTGTGAAGGGGTATGGGAAGATAGCTAAACCTTTAACCAATCTGCTAAAGAAGGATGGCTTGAGTGGGTTGAGCAAGCTGAGGGTGCTTTCCAGCAACTCAAACAAGCTATGACTCAAGCACCTGTGTGAGCACTACCTGACTTCTCTAGAACATTTTTGTTGGAAACTGATGATAGCCAAAAAGCTATTGGAGCAATTTTGATGCAGTAGGGCAGACCTATTGCCTTCATGAGTCAGGCACTTTGACCAAAGAATCAAGCACTGTCCATTTATGAAAAGGAGTTATTATCATTGATTACTGCAGTGGGGAAGTGGAGACACTATTTGTTAGGAACTCACTTCATAATCAAAACTGATCATGAAAGTTTGAAATACTTACTGGATCAGAAGATTACTACACCCCTCCAACAAAAATGGATGGCTAAACTTATGGGATTGGACTATGAGATCAAATATAAAAGGGGTAAGGATAACTTTGTGGCTGATGCTCTATCTAGAAGGTTGGAAGGAAGGGATGAGGAGTCTAGTCGAGAGGAGATGCAGGTCCATGCCATATCCACAGCAAAACCATTATGGCTAGCAAAGGTCTCAAGCAGTTATAATGGGGATGAGAAGGCCAAGGAACTGCTGGTTGCACTAGCTGTAGACAAATCCAGTGTGCAGGATTACTCATACCAACAAGGGATTATCAGGTACATGGGAAGGGTGTATATTGGAGATAACTCAGATTTAAGATCTCAACTCATCAACTGTATGCATGATTCTGCAATTGGAGGACATTCTGGAAACCAGGGAATGAAGAGTTATTTCTACTAGCCAGGAATGAAAAAAAATGTGGAGTCCTATGTGCAGTCTTGTGACATTTGCAGAGGAGTAAAGGGGAGCATTGTCGCTATCCAGGATTGTTGCAGCCATTATCAATTCCTGAGCAAGCATGGCAGGAAATTTCTATGGATTTCATTAAAGGATTAC